TGGTGGTCTGCCTGAAGATGACATCAGTTCTCCCAAAAATCTTACAGGCGAAAATGATGGGCATGTCCCTAACGTAAGCCTGCCAAGCGTAGACAAGGCTAAGCCTGTGCTGAACCGTCACACTATGGCGATGGTCTACAGAAGTTAAAAAAAGAGGGGAATGAGTAATTGTGAAGTAGAAACTAAAGAAAAAGCAGGAAGCGATGAAAAAACCACTAAAGGATGAAGGGGCAACATAATGAGGCCCTAAGGACGGGGGCGTCCCCCTACTAGACTGGCCTAGGGAAACATTCTTGTCTTTTCGGGGCCTATTGCGGCTGCAATCACCTCCTAACAAACGGTTTGCAGTGCTAGGGACAGTGAAAAGGAAAGCGATGATGGCAAGCAAAAGCATTCTTGACAGGAAAAGTGAGGAAGAAGAAAGTCTTTTAGGAAGAGAACAATAGTTGATATTGGGGTACCCTTTTGGGAATCTTTGAGTTATCCTATTTATAATGGGCCGATAGAAGAAAGAAAAGGAGTAGTAATGAAGAGCTGAAATGAAATCTTTGAAAAGATGGCAACGGCTAGGGAGGTGGTGCCTCAAAAAACGCACAAAAAGCCCCTCCCTAAAGAAAATGAGCAAGTGAAGGAATTGGGCATGGGCTAACCACCCCCAATTGGTCAATTCAGGCATAAGCTAATCACCCCCAGATGGTCAATTCGAGCATGGGCTAACTATTCCTAGAAGATTAACTTGGCATGGGCTAACCACTAGGGGTGTCAATGGACCGGTTTCGGATTGGACCCGTCCAATCTGAAGTTGTTATGGACGGATTGGACAGTCCAAATGGTTGTATTAACTCAGACCGATCCAAATATAAATGGTCCATATATACTACGGACCCGTTTGGAGATTGCAAAAATTTCTTTGAAGACTCAGGCTTCCACTGCTCCCTCCAGCGATTGAACGAACGACTAAACAAAATTTTCTCTCCGGTGATATTTCCAATAGCGACGAAATTGAATCCAACCAACAACGACCAAACCTCTTTCTCTCATTCCCATCTCCTTTCCCAACTTTTCTTATCAAATTCCTCTTTCTTAACATTTATTGTCCTCCCTGTATTTCCTAGACATCCAATTGGTCCCTTGTTCTATTTTCATCGCCGATTGAGTAGAGACCTCAGTTGTAGCGGCATCTTAGCCATACCACCCTTCTCTTGGATCCGAAGGGATATGCATCTGTAGCATCACCATCTCTCTTTAAATATTCTGGTTGCGAGACACCTAGTCATCACTGCTGTTCAAAGGGAATGGTCCTGAGCGAGGATACCTTTGGTTCTCTCTGTTGCATCGTTTGAACTAACGCCAAAATACAATTCAGGTCAGTTACATCCTTGTCGTAGCTTCCTCAGTTTTCTATTTCCTCTTTTATTCTTGACTTTTGTTTTTCTTTTTTATTTATTTTGATATGGGAAGGAAGAGGTCTGGGTGGTTGCAGAATCAATAATACTATTGAATCGATCTCCTTAAAATCTTTAAAACTGACCCAGACTCGCCGAAATGCATTGTGCTATGAATGTTCAATATTTCTACAAATGGGATAGTCCTTTTTAATTGTTCTTATGCATTTGTTTCTCTGCAACTTTCTTTTCTATCATAACTTACTCACTTTGGTAATTTCTTGGCATGATTTCTCTGTGGATTAAATTAAATTTCAGCTCAGTACAAAGGGAGACGTTTCTATAAGAGAAATACTTAATTTTCTTGTTTTGTAAGAATCTGGTTCTCAAATATGATTTATGTACCTTGGTACCTCCACTTGATTCCATTGTTGTTATTTTGATCTTTTGATCCATCTTGATTCTGGTTCTCAATCTTTTGGTCAATCTTCTAGGGTAGAGGTGTAAATTGGGTCATGCTATCCACAGCCCGACACCCACATGAACAATTATATACATCAAAAATTCATATAAAATAAAACTTTAAGATATTTTTAAATTTTTGTCTATTTTTTAAT